CAGCGGTTCGAGTCCAGCCCGAGCTGAGCAGCCGCTGAGCTGCCAACAGGTAGCAGGATGGCTCAGCTAAAAAAAAAAAAAAAAAGTCACATGTGAAAACGGTTGGTGGGTCCTCAAAAAAATGACACATACTACTCAGTGGAGTTGCTGGGTCTCAAGGAGATACCTGCACACCCATGTTCACGCAGCATCATTCACAAGAGCCAAGACACTGGGGTGACCCAGAAGTCCGTCGACGGGTCAAGGGACAGACCAAGTATGCGCTGTGCATCAGTGCAGTGTTAGTCAGCCTCAGTGAAGAAGGACGTGGACACCTCCAGCATGGACAAACCTTGGGGACATTATGCTATGTGAAATAAGACAGATACTGTAGGATTCTTCTGTGAGGCACCTAGATGGTCAAATTCATACAGACAGGAAGCAGGATGGTGGCTGCCAGGGGCTGGGGGAGGGGCGTGGAGCATTGTTTAATGGGGACAGTTTCAGTTTTGCAACATGAAGAGTTCTGGAGACGTGTAGCGCAACAACGTGAATGTACTTCATGCCACCAAACTGTACACCTCAAAACGGTTAGGGTGGTAACATTTTATGTTACGTGTGGTTGCCGTATTGCACAGTGTAGGCGCAGAGTTTTCCCATCATTGGATGGTGCTGAGTAGATGTCCCTTATTGCTGGAGAACCCGGGGTCCTGCAGCCAGGCGCTGGTGACTTTCTGTGGAAAGAAGGGTTCACTGAAAGTGTATCTGGACGAATTTGCCTGCGGGGCCTCTGCTTTTCCATGTGGGGTTCCTGAAGGCAGACCCCAAAGCTCTTGTATCACCGTGCCTGCAGCCACCCTGGCGATTGGGGTAGGCAGAATGGAGGTGGCCTACCAGGGGCCTCCCAGAGGAGGAGGGGGGGCAGGCAGGATGGGGCCTTCACCTGTGCTTAAGGCAGCGGGAGGGCGGGCTTGGTGTTTTTATTATTATTTCTCAAGCAGGGCCCTGGTGGGCAGGATGTTTGCTTTGGTTCGGGTTTCTATAGTGGATGTTGGTGGCTGAGGAGGGGGTGGGGGGGGCCAGCGGGAGCGGCTGCTCCCAGGGCCCATGCAGGGGAAGTGAGGGGGCTTCAGGGTCCCGTCCTGTCGGTCAGTCCATGTCATCGTCGTCGTCGTCCCCCTCCCCCACCACCGGGGTACGGTGGGGGAGGGGGGAAGGGGGAGGGAGCTGCGGGGGTGGGGTGGAGAATGGCGCCCAGACCCACAGACAGATGGAAGCAATTTTCAGTCACGTGGGGCAGGGTTGAACTGCTGCCTGTCAGGCCCGGACCGTGTCTGTCTCCAGGAAGCAGCCCCGAAGCCGCATGTGTGCCCAGATGCAGCTCTTGTCTCTGTTTATTTAAAGATGTTGGGGGCCCAAGGAGAGGGTTTCTGAAGAGGGAGCCGGTGGTGCAGGGAGGCAGCCGGGAATGGCGGTCCTCGTCCTCCTGGGTCTTAGATGGCGGCTTGGTCCTCCTGGGACCGCAGCCCATCGCATCTGCCTGTTACTCTCAGGAAGGACACGTGGACCCCTTGGCACTCCCTGGCATTTTTATGCATTTTATTATTTTCTCATTTGCTCAACTCTGTCTGGTCAGAATTCTTGGGAAACAGGGAAGTGTGAGTGACTGACTCGTGAGGATAAACCACCCACACCCTGATTTCTTGAATTTGTCAGCCAGTCGCTCTGGTCATCTTCCCCTTTCACTCCAGCCCTGCGCAGGCCTGGGTACGTTGGGGAGGGACCTGGCTGATCTCAGCTCGCCTGGTGCCCCTGGAAAACAGGATGGCGGGCTTGGGAGCTGCTGGGCCCACTGGGGCGGGCGGGTGGGGGTAGAGCCGGTTATTCCCCCAGGAAGTGGAAATGCAGTTTACCGAAAACTCAGCAGTGACCTTTGACTTGGCAACCTGTGTCCTGGGCTTCCTGGGGCTGGGGCAGGTGTGGGCGGTTGGGAGGGCGTGTTTGGGAGCTACTTGCTCACGCCGACATTGGGGTGCTGGGGCTGATATCCAGAGAACCAGCCAGCCCCTCCATGAGGGTTGACGGGAGGGCCCGAGGGGCCGGGGAGGTGTCAGGACACACTGTGTGGTCACCCTGTGAGCCCCAGGTAGCAGGAGAGACCCGTGACCCTCCTGGGAGGTAGGATTGAGCGGGCGGGGGGGCTGGGAGGAGCCTGGACCCCCTGGGGCACGGGAAGGTGCAGCAGAGTCTGGCCCACAGGGGCCGCTGGGAGGCTGGCTGAGGAGTCGTGTGGTGTGGTGTGTCTGGGGGCGCTCTGCGGCCGCTGGTGTGCTCCAGCCAGACGGGGAGGAGAGCCTGCACTGTCTGAGCGCCTGACCCGCCCAGCCCAGCCCGCTGTACGGGCGCACCCCAGGGCCCCAGTGGGCATGTGCCCCCCACTCCCCCACCCCCAAGCCTCTGACCTGGGCATGTGGGCTCCAGGGCCGCCAGGGGAGGGACTGTAGAAAGGAGGCAGGTTCTGACCTGCAGGCCACAGAACCTTGAGTTATTCAGAGAATCTGCACCCAGGTACTCCAGCCTCCAAAGAGCCTGCCGGGCACTCCCACCTGCCCAGGGCTATCAGCGGGCACCTGGGATTAAGCACACCTCCCCCAGGCGTAGCAGGATGGAGTAAGTGCTGGTCCCTCTGTTCTTCACAAGGCTGTCCCCTCCTCTGTCCTGGCCCAGGCCGTTTGACCCTGAGGGGCCCTGAAGCCTTCGGGGTGCAGCAGGTGTTGAGGCAGGTGAGGATGGAGAGGGCCCACCTGGATACCCCAGGCACCACCCTCCTCTGGGCAGTTCTCCAGAGCGACGCTCGGAAGACAAGGAGAGGGAGGTGCAGGGCTCAGCCGTGCCCCGGGGTCCAGGGAGGGCAGGCGGGTGGGGAAGGAGATTCAGAAGGAGAAACGGAGACAGGCCTGAGAGTCGGGGGCGGGCTCTGCGGGCCAGGCCGAGTGGCTGCCGGCCAGTTTAGCCTTTTACACGGCACCGTGGCAAGGGGCTTCAGCTCGGGGTGTTCTTCAGGGATCTGTTGGGCAACTGAGCCTCAGTTTCCCCATCCAAGAAATGGGGCTGGTGGCCAGAGCCCCCTGAGGACGGGGGTGCTTGGCGGATGCCTGCGTATGACCCCCACCACCCCTTATGCCTCTGCTCTTTCCGCAGCCACTGAGGCAGCTCCCAGCTGCGTTGGCGACATGGCCGACACCCCCAGAGATGCCGGGCTCAAGCAGGCGCCCGCACCGCGGAACGAGAAGGCCCCCGCGGACTTGGGCTACGTGGGGATCGACTCCATCCTGGAGCAGATGCGAAGGAAGGCCATGAAGCAGGGCTTTGAGTTCAACATCATGGTGGTCGGTGAGTCCCGCCCCCAGACAGCCCGCTCTGCCCACACTGGGAATGGCCCTGTGGGCCGGTCGCTCAAGGCCTGGGCTCAGCCTTCTCTCCTGTAACACGGCAGTGACAGACCCGGCCTGCAGGATGGGTTGTGAGTGGCACCGTGTATGCATCCGTGTGCCTGCCAGGAGGGTCCCAGCTCCTCAGAGGGGCCGCTGCCCCTTCCTTCAGGACCCCTGAAAGCTCGGCAGGGGCAGCACCGAGGGGCAGGTGCTCAGAAAACCATAGCTCTCTGACCAGTGGCCTCCACCCTCTGCTTTTAGCTTCTCCTGAAATATCTCCCCCGCCATCGCTCGAGACCTGGCCTTCTAGCCCTGCGTGGGGCTGGCCCCCAGGCCTAACAGGCCGGGCTGGAGGCTCTGTGGCAGCCCCAGGAGCGCTGGATGGCCACCGGGGGAGCCCATTGATCAGCCTGGCCCAGACAGGGTTGGGGGAACAGTCTCTTGTCCCAGAAACCCCTCAGTCCTCACAGTAACCCTGTGATGGGGGCGCCCCGCTTTGCAGGTAGAAGCGCGACCCAGAGAGGGTGTGCCGAGGTCGCAGTTAACAAGGGCGGAGAGAACGGAGCCCGGTTCCTCCTCTCCCTCCCACCGCAGTGCCCCCACCACAGAGATGCCACTGGGGTGGAAGGGCGTCGGGGGGGGCGGGGGTCCACAGGCCCAGGGCAGAAGCCCAGCTTTGCCCCCTCTGAGCTGCCTGCTGACTTTCCCGGGGCTTCTGCTTCCGGCCTCGGTTTCCTCATCCATCAAGTGGGATAATCCAAACCCCAGAGGGCCCGCGGGTCAAATGAGATGACGTGTTCTGCCCCTGGCGTGGTCACAGTGCTTGAGAAGTTGCAGAAGCAGTAGTGATGTGATGATGGTGATGGTGCAAAACTAATAGTAATAATGGGATAAAACTTTAAAATATCCTAGAGGCATCTAGATGTCAGGGGCTATGGCTGGAATATTTGACACAGCTTCTGGCCTGAGCTTGGTCGGACACCAGACGGGGTGGGGGGCAGCCCCTGGCTGTTACACAGGGACCCAGGATTCCTGAGGCCAGCCTCCAGCCTCCTGGCAGCCCATGCTTTTCCTTGAAAGGTTATCAAAGTTGGAAAATCAGTCTAACTTAATTTTTAGAAGTATGTAGGTTAGCGTGGCCTAAGGCAGCTCAGCGCAGGGAAGGGGCTCCGAGTCTGCCGTCGTGTGTGTGCGCAGTGCCGAGGTGTGCCTGGCACATGGTAGATACCTCATAAGTGTCCAGAGCCGTTCCCACTGTTGAGCCCAAGGTGGAAGGTCATGGCTGGGGCCCCGGAGCCGGGCTGCTGGGCTCTGATCCTCATTCTGGGCTCGGTGCCTCAGCCTCCCCATCTGTCAAGTGGGGTCAGGAGGGCACCTGGTTGTGAGGTGAAGCTCCCGCACTAGGACGGTGCCTGGCACATAGTGAGTGGGACCTACTGGTTAGCAGCTGAGAGGCACAGCCTACATTCATGACGATTCGGAGCAGGAGGGACCTCCCGGTCACAGCCGGGTCCAGGTCCCCTCCCCTGTTGTGCCCCTCTGCCCTCCTGCTGTAGGACAGGACTTGGGGTGAGGCGAGGTTTGGACACACAGCAAGGCTAGGAGTGCTTGAGCTCACAGGGTGCCTGGGAGCCACGCAGGGGCATGGCCTGCTACCCTGGGCGCATTCACTGGCCAGGCAGCCCCTCAGTTGTGGGGCCTGTTGATGGTGGGCACCAGCCAGTGGCTGTCCCTGCCCCTGGCAGCAGGGCACCAGCTGCTCACCATCTGGAGGCTCTGATCAGGCCTCCTGCACCAGGAAGAACTGACCCAGTGACCTTCCACTTGGCGGTCATGCAGCTACAGGCTGCATATGCTGAGTGTGCCAGCACTTCCGCCTAGGTGACCCCCAAAGGTTGGGAGCCCGGCCCCTGGGTCCTTGGACCAGAACCCTACAGCGTGGGCAGTTTGGCTGTGGTTAGACCATGGCTGGTTTGAAGACCTCACTCCGTGGGGGATATAGACCCTCCCTCCAGGGTCTGGGGTGGAGGTCTGGGCAGAGGTTTTCCTTCGACGCTCACATGGATCTTGGTATGTCCAACAGCTAAGAGTGGAGTTGCACTGGAGGAGCCAGCCCCCCACTTTACTTCCCCCACCCTGCTCTGCGTCTCAGCTCCTCTCGGGAACCCTAGGACCTGCACTGGGCAGTTTGACAACCCCTGTGGTTAGGAGGCGTGGGGTCCAGACCCTTCTCTGCTACAATGTGCTGGGAGCTCGACCGCTGCCCAGCTCCCCCTGACCCAGAGTCCCCCATGGAGTGGTGCTGGGTGGGGGTGATCCCAGGCGTCACTGAGTTGCAGGCCCATGAACCCCCTGACTGGAGCCCTGCCAACCCCCCGCCAACAGCCCATTCTCTCCCCAGGGCAGAGTGGCCTGGGGAAGTCCACCTTGATCAACACCCTCTTCAAATCCAAAATCAGCCGGAAGTCAGTGCAGCAGCCGACCTCGGAGGAGCGCATTCCCAAGACCATTGAGATCAAGTCCATCACACACGGTGAGCGCTGGCCGGGACTCATGGTGACTGACACCTCTGGGCATGCTAAGTCTAGGCCAGGGGTGCTCTCCTGGACCCCTGAGGGTCCAGTCAAACCAAGACCCTGGAGACAGCTTTTTCCACCAGAAATCACAGGTGGGGTCCACCCATGATAAGTGTTACCAACCCTGGCTGGACTTCTGCTGCTGGAGGTCCTCACCTCCCTGGTGTAACCTGGGCTGTCATCACTGGTCACCCTGGGTGCCTCAAGTGGGTCTTGCTGGGGCAGGGTTGGCAGGCAGCCTGTGGGCTCCTTGTACCAGGTGGGGCCCTCGCTGGTGTGTCAGGCCTCCCCCTGAGCTCAATAGGTGCTGTGATCTGTGCAGATATCGAGGAGAAAGGTGTGCGTATGAAGCTGACGGTCATCGACACGCCGGGCTTCGGGGACCACATCAACAATGAGAACTGGTGAGGGGCTCTAGGGGTCCTCCGGGTGGGCATGGGGGCCACTCCTCCAGGCGGGAGAGTACTAGCAGGGTGCCCGGCTGCTGGGCTCCACCCAGAGCCAGAGCTGGGAGGGTTCCATGGCCCCTGGAGTTGCTGGGGCTTGTCTCCTAGCCTGATCTGCTGCTAAACCCAGAGGGGGTCCCAAATTCTGGACCACGGCAGTGCAACCCTAAGAACCTTAACCTTCCCCCACCTGCCCGAGGTCAGAGGCCTAAGATAAGGCCACGATGCCAGCTCAAACAGTCACACACCCCAACACGTGCCCTGCAAGATGGGGTGTCGGGCTGGAATTTGGGAATTACCTCGGAGCTGCCCCTGAGCTTGGCCGGGAGGGCATCCCTCGTGCAGGCTAACCGGCCTCTCTGCGCAGCTGGCAGCCCATCATGAAGTTCATCAACGACCAGTACGAGAAGTACCTGCAGGAGGAGGTCAACATCAACCGGAAGAAGCGCATCCCCGACACACGTGTCCACTGCTGCCTGTACTTCATCCCGGCCACCGGCCACTCGTACGTGCCAGCGCAAGGCCGCGCCCTGGGGCTGGGCGCAGATGGGCTGGGGGGGTGCGTGGCCAGCCGCCGACGCTTGCGGGCGGTCTCAGCCTGTCATCCACACTGCGAACCATCCGTTGCCCCCACCCCCCCACACACACCCACCTTAGCCTGTGTGGAGAGCTGAGGCCAGGCTGCTGGGCTGCTGCAGAGCCTGGGGCCTGTGTGTTGGGTCCACCCTCAGCTCCATCCGGGCCAGGGGCGGGCGACCCTCCCTCACCCTGTCTCCCCAGCCGCACTCTCATCCATGTTGTTCCACTCCAGCCTCAGGCCCCTGGACATCGAGTTCATGAAGCGCCTAAGCAAGGTGGTCAACATCGTTCCGGTCATCGCCAAGGCCGACACGCTGACCCTGGAGGAGAGGGTCTACTTCAAACAGCGGGTAGGGCTCCACCGACGCCTGTCCCCCCACCCCCACCTCAGGGACCAGTGAGGGGCCCTCGGACACAACACGCCAGGTTTTTATTAGAAAGTCAGAAAGGGGTGATCTCTGCAGAGGGGACAGGTGGCTGCTGCCTCCTTCTCTACCACGGTCCCACTGATGGCTGTGTGGGGAGGGGTGACTGAGCAAGGGGGCGACCTTGGACCCCTTCTTCCTATAAGGCCACAGGTCAGAACCACCTGGGAACTTGAAAACCTGAGGTGCTGGGCCCTAGCAGAGCCTCTGCCCCAGTAGGTGTGAGCTAGGAGGCCCCCCAACCTCATGCCCAAAGCCTCCGCCCCAGGGCCCGGTGCCTGGGGCTGCGCAGCGTGCTGAGGGGAGGACAGTCTCCTTACATTGTGTGTCTGCCCGAGGGAAGAGAGAGCAGAAAGCCCCCAATGCTACACACGGGCGTGGGTCTGTGCTCAGGGAAGACATGACTGCTGTTCATGGGGACGTTATGAATCAAACATCCATGTTGGGCAGCTGTCGCTGCGAAGGGTGGTGACAGTTTAACGTGAGCAGGTGCGCCTTTGCGGGCATTTGGGGCCACAGTGAGAGGGTTTCTAAGTAGAGCTCAGGAGGGGAAGACTCGGCAATGCTGAGTTCACTCTCATGGGGTGTGATGAGCTGGAGAGGAAAGATGGAGGCACCTGGGACAGTGGCCCGAGTCCCTCAGGCAGCTGCAGGTCTCCTGGCAGACAGGTCTGCAGCACCCCTCCACTCAGGAGCACAAGAGCTGGAGAGGATCCAGGCCACCAGCCCCTCAGAGCCCACCCTTGACCCCGAGCCTGGGGCCACTGACATTGTGGAGGTCACGGTGAGGGGAGATGCCGTTGGGCCATTCCAGCGTGCCGCGCGGATGGTCCCCACATCTCCCGCCCTCACCCCCAGATCACCGCAGATCTGCTGTCCAACGGCATCGACGTGTACCCACAAAAGGAGTTTGATGAGGACGCAGAGGACCGGCTGGTGAACGAGAAGTTCCGAGTGAGTACATCCGCCGGGACACTCTTCCTGGGGGCCCCTCCGTTCCTGCTGGGGGTCTAAGGGAAGCGAGTGGGATGGCCTGGGGCCACGAGAACACACGTTCTGGGCTGGGCGCGGTGGGAGCCCGAGTGTCCACAGTGGCTCTCTCAGGCCCAGGGGCCCAGGGAGCAGCCTGGCCGTTCCACGCATGTGTGACCCACGCCGCCTGCCCCTCCCCCAGGAGATGATCCCGTTCGCCGTGGTGGGCAGTGACCATGAGTACCAAGTGAACGGGAAGCGGATCCTCGGAAGGAAAACCAAATGGGGCACCATCGAAGGTAATGACGGAGCCGGCATGCGGGGCCGTGGGCAGAGCAGCAGGATAAAGCCGCCGCTGCTGATCGAGAGCTGGGCACCAGGGCCTGAGCTGGGCGCCCTTGGACCTCCTTGCTTGCGCTGCCCCACCCAGCCGGCAGGGTCGCGTTGGGGAACCGTCCAGGGCCCACAGCCATTAGCTGATGACACTGTGCCTCCACCTGGATCTCTCACAGGTGGAGATACCCAGGGAGAAAGGAGCCACGACCGGCTCTGCCAAGTTCTGGGTCCGGGTGCTGGCCTTTCACAGGCATGCTGTGTGACCCTGGGCAGATGGCCCCACCTCTGGGCCGAGGAAAGGGCTAAGCAGTAGCTCTGTCCAGCTTGAGAACCACATGTCCCTCCCCCTGCAGAAATTCCCAGGACCCCCACATCTCAGTGTCCTGAGGCTGCCTTAACAAGTTAGCACAGTCTGGGTGGCTTAAAACAGAAATTTATTCTCTTGTAGTTCTGGAGGCAGGAAGTCCAAAATCAGAGCGTGGGCAGGGTCACTTCCTTCCGGAGGCCGGCGGAGGGTCTGTCCTAGGCCTACCTCCTGGCTTGGTGGCTGCCAGCAGTGCTTGGTGTCCTGGGCTCGTAGACGCATCCCCCCACTCTGCTTTGCCCTTGGCCTTCTTTCTGTGTCTTTTCCTCTTATAAGGACATTTGTCATTAGCTTTAGGGCACACCCTAAATCCGGAACGATTTACCTTAATTACACCTTCAAAAACTCTTTTTCCGAATACGGCCCCATTCACAAGTACCAAGTGTTGGGGGTTGGACATGGTTTTAGGGTCACAGTTCTACCCACTGCAGGTAGCACCCTAAGTGGGATGGACCTGGGCACTTCATTCCTCTTCCCCCCTCGGTTCCTTCCTCCCTCTTTAGAACAGAGGGGAAAACAACAGGTTAAAATGGGCCACTTTATTCCCTGTTCACTTGGCTGAAAGGCCCAGGAGAGAAGGAAGCAGAATAAATACATTTGAGTCCAGCTGCAGCCCGTACCCCCGGGGCTTGGTGAAATTGAGCGAGTGCCTTAATCCCCCCAGGGCCTCAGTTTTCACCGTCCATGAAGTGGGTGCTGTGCCCCAAGATTGCAGTAAGATGAGAGAATGTCCAAAGACCCTGGGGGCTTTTGGGGCAGAATGCTATAAGAAACTGCCGATAATGAAAACTGCCAGGCGTTTGGGCACACCCCAGACCAGCTCATTTTATGTGGATTATCGTTCAGGTCTCGGAGCTCCCTGTGGCTGGGTCTGTGCCCCGACTGCAGAGGCAGAAAACCTGCCCAGGCTCTAGAATCCATGGGCCCACCCTGCACTGAATTCAAACCTGGAGGAGGGTGGAGGGAACGCCAGCTGTCTCAGGTGTCCGCGTGGGTGCTGGTGGTTGGGTGCAGAGTGAGTGTTTTTCTAAATTAGCCCCTGTCGGGGTGTTTTCCGTGTCCGCCCTGCAGGCTGTGTCGCCCTCTGCGCCACCCCCCCACACACCCCGGTCCGGGGAGGTGTCCCTGGCCCCGCCCCCTCACCTCCGTGCCCCACCTGGGCCGCGTAAATCAGGCTTTAACCCTGGGCTCCCGCCTTGGTCCCTAGTGTCTTCCTGAAACCTTCCCGTTTAGGAAGCTTTTTATGGCGGCATGTTTTGGAGGGAGAAGTTTGGGGTAAGCAAAGGGGCGGACCTGAGAAGGGCCGTGGAGGGCGGGAGCCCGGTGATGGACACACCTCTGCTGCCCCCTGGCGGCCGCCTCCCGCCCTGCAGGCCGCGGGTAATGGGAGTTGGGGAACGCGCGAAGCTGGTGTTCCGTTTCTTGCTTCTATATTAAGTCACCCCTGCGCGCTGTTGTGGCGCCCCCAAACGAAGCAGCGCCGTGGAGCTGTAAGGACAGGGGTGAGGTGGCAGTGCCCACACGCCAGCAGCAGCCTTTTTGAGGCCCCTGGAGGAGACGCCTCCCCATCTCAGAACGGCCGGGGCTGTGCTCGCCCCTGTTAGGTGCTTTTGCCTCGTCTGGGAACGGTGGGCGTGGCGATGCGCACGGCTGACTCATGTAATCCTCCGGTTCCCCGTGAGGTGGGCAGCGTTCCGGGTGAGGACGCAGGAGGCGCGCTCACCTTCTGAGCTCTGCGCCCACGGCTTCTCCTAACTGGGCAAAACGCGTGCGAGTCCGAGGCAGAAGGTGCTAGAGTGGGCACCGCCCTGGGGGTGGGGGGGGTGAGAGGTGGGCAGCGCCCCAGGCGAGAGGCACCTGGAATGAAATCGGGAGTGCCGAGGGCGCGGCGCGGCGTGGCGGAGGCTCGTGGGCTTCTCCCAGCCCCCGCCCTGCCCGCCAGCAGAAGGGCCGAGCTGCTCCGAGAGGGGGCAGCCTGGGCTGTGGAGCCAGGCATGTGGGGTTCGGCCCTGCTCCAGCCTCAGGGCTGCGGAACCTGGGCAGACAGGTCGAATTACGGTGCAGCGTGGCACCTGCTGCCTTGTCACTCGACTTCTCTGCCTGCCTCCCGCCCTCCGGCCAGGCGATGTCACTCGCCAGACCACGCGGTGGCCCGCCGTTACGTAATAACTAGACAAACACGCACGGCGGTGTTGTTGACTTGTAAGTTGTGAGCACAGCAATCAAATGAACCCTGAGACTGCCTCCAGCTCAGCCCCATGTTCTGGGGTGCCTATGGGTGCTGGACCCCCTCCCTGCTCGGTCTTCCCGCGCCCCCAGAACTGTCCTGTCACCCCTGCCCATCGTTGCTTTGGGCTGTGCTGTGCAGCTGCCCCCAGGCAATGCAGGTTTCAGTTTTGCTGGTTCTTGAACTTGATGTAAACAGTAACTCACAGTCTGTGGTCCCTGTGTGTGCCCTGAGCACGTTGGGGCACAGGTTCTCTTTCAACCCCCGCCTCCAATCCCTGCCTCGTTCCACTCCTGACCCCCTCCCGTCTTCAGGTCTCCCCTTGGGGCATCCTCCTCTTCCCAGGAGACCTCCCTGGTCCCCCAGGTGGAACAGCGGGCCCCACCACCCCCGCCTTCCTTACCGCAGCTCTCTCCCCTGCTGCTGTCTTGCCTGAGTGACTGTGCCATCTCGCCACTCATCCAGAACGTTCTCAGAACCTTGTGGAGAACCGGAACTGAGCCAGTTCTGTCACCAGAGTAGCCACCGTGCTGGGTGCCCTCGAGGTGCCCACTGCTCACCTGGGAGCAGTGACTCCCCGGTCTCCCCGGCCCACCTACCTGGGGCTCCTCTTGGCAACAGAACTACAGGGGAGGGGCTTCAGGTGACACTAAAGCCCCTTCTGTCTCTTTCCTCAGTTGAGAACACCACACACTGTGAGTTTGCTTACCTGCGGGACCTCCTCATCAGGTGAGAGATGGGCGGGTGTTGGGGTGGGGCTGACAGCATAGCCTCTCCCCCCCCCCCCCAGCGGAACCTAAATCAGGAGTGTGGGTGGTGGGTGAGTGGGCGGAATCCTTGGCAGCAGCCGGCATGTCCTGCCCATCTGCCTGCCCCCCAATGTGAGAACCTCACAAGCCCACTTTTAAAACACCTTCTTGGAAATGAAACAAGAAGTGAAAATTTTCCTTAGCCATATGAGGTCACCTGGATGGGAAGAGCTGAGTTCTGGTCGCTGTGGCCTGAGTCCGTTAGATTCGGGGCCCCAGGAGGTCTCACGTGCTAGACATTGTGGGGGGGGGTCCCCAATTCCCATCCCAGCATTCTTTGACCTCACCCACGGACTTGGCTGAGGCTTCTTGTTTTCCTCGAGCCCAGCCAAGGAGTAGCCCCTTCTCAGCCTATTGGAGAGGGTTCCAGGGGGGCCTACCTGGGCCTGGGCAGGTGAACGGACAGGGTTGGGGGCTCCCACCCTGGTACCTGGAGCTCCCAGCGCCTCAGCCAGCTGGCGGGTGGAAGTTAGAGATAAAGTCAAAAGGAGGGGCAGGGCCGTCTCTGGGGGCCTCCAGGTTGGGGGGCTGTGTTGGAGAGCCTGGCTGAGGAAGGACACCCACTCCAGGCCCTTCTGCCCCCCTTGCCATGGGAGAGCCTGAGCCAGGACGGGCAGGGGGACCAGTGCTCCATCCGGGCCGCGGTCACCCACTGCCCCTTGCGTGCCTATACTCCGGGCCACCAGCCTGGCGCTTCTAGACGGGAGCAAGGACACGCCTGCCCCTAATGAGTCGGCGCCCAGCCCCCAGCCCTGGACTGGCCACAGGCGTGACACAGAGAAAGGGGGCACATTAGAACACGTTTCAGGGAGGGTGTGGGGTTGCCGTGCAGACTGCCCCTCACTCCATGCCCAAGTCGGACTTGGGCCTGAAAGCTGGGAGGGTGGAGGTGGGATTCCTGGGCCAGGTCCAGCGGGGTCCACCGCCCGCCCGTGCGCGCCTGTCCTGCCCTGACTGCCCCTCGATGTCCCTGTGTCCACCCAGGACGCACATGCAGAACATCAAGGACATCACCAGCTCCATCCACTTTGAAGCCTACCGGGTGAAGCGCCTGCACGAGAGCAACAGCGCCGTGACCAACGGCGTCGAGGACCAGGAGCCGGCAGCCCAGGAGATGTAGACGCCGCCAGGACCCAGCCCCCGTCTTCCTGTCACCCCAGCCCACCCACTCGCCCCATTTTATTTTATATCATTTTCTCCATCTGTCGTTCTCCGCCCCTTTCCACGCTGCCGAGTAACAAGATAACGAGTGCCCCCCTCCCCCAAGTATGTCCGTTAGTGGCCCGCTGATGGCGGGGCCTGGAGTGGAGGCTGGCGCCCTGGCCGTCCCGAGGTCCTGGAGAGGCTGGACCATGGCCGGGAGGGACGGGAGCAGATCCGCTGAATCAGTGCCGACCTTGACTCCTGGCCCAGCTCTGGGGGCCAGAGGAGCAGCCTCCTGCTCGGGGTCCCGCCACCCCACTCTCTCAGCCCCTGGAGCATGGTGGGTTGTGCCCAGGGGATGACGGAGCCAGTCTGGCGGACCAGGAGTCCCTTCCTGCCCTCGCCACTCCACATGGCGTGGGCTGTAACTCAGAGAATCCCCCCTTGACCCCATCAAGGGGAGAAAAGTTAATTCCAGGAGACACGAGTTGCCAATTGCTTAGATGGGGCGAGGCCATTGGCTGCTGCCCGCCCACCCGCCTGCAGGCCTGCCCTGGAAACAGAAAGTGCCTTTATCTCAGCCGTCCACGCAAGCCCCCAGACTCTCCCCAGCTGTCCCCTCAAACGGGAAATGGGGAAAGGTTGGAAAGGGGGGGTGTCTTCATCTCCCCGTTGTCCCCATCTCACTGTGATTTGATTGAGGATTCAAAGGAAAAGATCCACCCCGCACCCCCCTCCCCCTGGTTTTTGGGAAGGTCTGAGCAAGTGAGTCTGGAGGAGCTGAGTGAGGGTGTGATGGCAGGTGCATTGGAGGAAGGGGGCCGTGTGGACTGTGGCTGGGGTGTTCTGAGTGGTCTTGGTGCCTGCCTCACCCTGCCCCGTATGACTGGGGAAGCGTGTATGTTTGTGTGTCTCTCTGTTTATAGACACCTAGCCAGCCACCCCAGATGCCCACGCAGCCCTCCTGGCCTGGCCCTTGCTGGCACTGAGCCTGACTTTCTGTTGCACTAAATGTGCCTGGGTCCCTGAACCCCAGGGCCCATTGTAAAGACCCCTAAAGATGGAGGGCAGGAGTCAGGTTGTATCACCCACAGCTGGCTACAGAGCCGGATTTCCTATCAGCACAGCCCGCTGGTCTCGTGCTCCCTCGCTGGCCTCTTGCACCAGCAGGGACCACCTGAGCCAAGCACAGCGGACCACAGGTGCTTCCTCCTTCCTCCTGGAGAGGGAGGGGTCTGGCTCAGGCCCAGGAGGTAGCACAGGTGAGGTGCATGTCCGTCTGCAGACCCCAGGTGTCCTCCTTTTCAGCTGATGAGAAGAACAGTGTGAGAACTTGGGTCCAAACAGACCTGGGGCTGCAGGTGTGTGCTGGTGTGTGCACCTGCGTGCACATGACATCACGTGGCACATTTGCTCCCCACCTACGAGAGGAAGGACCCCTTAGCAAAACAGTTTACTTGCCGACTTGCCATGTTTTTGCCAAAACCATGATTCTGAAGGACATGTCCCCCTCCAGCGTTGGGCCAGGACATGGGGCAGCCTTCCGGGTGGGGTGGCCCTGCCAGCCTCCGTGCTCTTGGGGGCTCCGCAGCGTCCGGCCCCGGGACGCCTTCGCTTTCCTTCTCTGTAGCCAGATTTTGAAAAATTGTTAGTTTCACTGGGATCTGTTCCACAGTGGCCTTTTGCTATGTGCCTCCTGAGAAATTCGTCTCTTTTTGTATAAATAACAAAGTGTTGAAAGTGTATTTCCTGAAATAAATGTTCCAAAGCAAACCTGGAAGGCTCGGGAGTGGGGTTCTTCCTCTTCTGACCCCAGAGGCAGAGATGAGAGTGAGTAGAGTGGTGCTGGGAGTTGTGCAGCTTCCATCCGGGGAAAAGAGGTGTCAGCGACTTCAGAAAAACGGGTCTGTGAGGATGATTGCAAAGTGGACAGCAAATCATAATTTATTCAGCAAAGGAGCCTTTGAAAAGTTTCCACGGGGAGGAGCTGGGAGCCGTTTCTATTAGTGTATGCTTGGTAATATGTTTTTCTTACAATTTAAATCCTTTGGCTTGATCCCTGTGAATTGGTCAGGGACTAATTGCATGCCAATTTAACGTGTTTCAAGAGAACTTGTCCCCAAGTAGACTGGAATTCCAGAGGCAGCCCTGTGAGCTTTTGTCTGCACCCAGAGCGGGATGGCTCTGAGCACCTGCGTGGGGGGCGGGGCTTACCAAGGGGGCCACATCAGCCAGGTATCCTGAGCTTGCCTTCCCTGCTGTGGCTGCAGGGTTTAAACAAGCCAAAAAAATAACACCAACAGGCAGCCCTCAGCCTTTCCAGGCCCTGCCTTGTGTGTGTCCTTGCGTGGGGTGAGGACCCACGGCTGGTCAGCCGACGCACTCCACCTGGGGCGGAAGCCAGATGGAAATCAGCCGACTGAGGGGGGCGCCTTTTGAATCTTAACGGATGTCTTCTCCCATTTTTAAATATTACTTTCTAATGAAAAAAGTAGCACATACAATGTGGAAAACGCCAGGGAAAAAATACACAAAGAAATTAAAAAGCCCGGCCTCCCCAATACCAGTGGTGGGGGGCTCATTATCATTCTCATGATGGCGCCTATCTTGCTTTTACCCCTTTTGATGTGGCTTTGGGGACATGGGGTTTGGGGGTGCTGGTGGGAGGAAGATGGAGTGTGGAAGGCAGGGTGGGATCCATGCAGAGTTCTAGGCCAACCCCAGTGTGTACAGCTGAGGGACTTGGAGGCACCCCGTGTCTCAGGCACCACTCTACTGGTGTCCTGGGCTGCGGGACCCTGGAATGCCTGCCAGGCAGGACCAGGCACATTTCCTGCACTGGAGCAAGAACGCTTTCCAGATGTGTGCGCCGCCCCAAAGAGGTGTTTGGGGTACCAGAACCAGCTGTGGGGGGGATGCTTGCCCAATGCTTGACTTGGGTCAGTCACTGATGAAAATGTCACTTGTGAGGAGCCCAAGGCCTTGGGAGGTCCCAGGGAGGCTGCCATCCATGCAGACTTCAGGCAGGCTGCAGACCCCCACCCCGTTCCTGCTCCCTCTGCAAGGGACCGGCCTTTCCCTGAAAGTAAAGTGATGTGGCTTTTCTGCTGATGATATTAGCGATCCCTACTCCAGAAAGTTTGGAAGACAGAGAAAGGCAAAAACAACAACGCTAACAGCAACCAAAGGGAACCCCAGGGCTGCCAGCCCAGCTGCTGATGTCTGGAGTGAGGGGAATGTTTGCGAATGCATCTGCACACTTATTTCTGTCTTTCCAAAATTAAGCTCAGATGGTGCATATCCTTTTGTAACCTGTATTTTCGCTTAATGCCAATCAAAATTTCCCACGCTGTGATGTGTTTTTGGAAAACAGTTTTGATTTCTGTACGAGGCTCCATCATATCCGCCTGTATGACTAAACGATGATTTCTAAGAGTTTGCCCTGGTCAGTGGGCTGCACCCGGAGGCCTGGTGGGTCCTTGAGTCCCCCTGTTCTACCCCCAGAGGAGAGAGGTGCCTGGTTGCAGGGAGCACCTGGAAACAGCAGAAGCCCACACTGGGAGGGTCTGTGGACCCAGCGACCGGAGGGGCCCCAGGACTCCTCCGTCCCTCTTCTTCCAGGCGCCAGTCTGCGTTTTGGCTTGTGGATGGGAAAGCAGCCGAGTGAGGTCTTGCAGGCCGACCCTCAGAGCTCAGGGTTCCAGGCACAAGGTCATTGCTTGACTGTTACGGAAATGTTCATTTCTGAGCTCTTTTTCCACATGGATTCAAGTACACAGCTGGAACTTGGGTCCACGTGAAAGAACCCCTGAGGCCACTGCTTGTAGATCACATATTGACGATGACCTCAGAGGCCAGAATGAAGGTGGGCTGGGGACGCAGGGGCTGAGCGTGGATGCACATGGCCCTGGACACTGCCCGGGGTCACGTGTGGGCCAAGGTGATAAGGCAAAGAGGAGGACAGACCCACCCAGAGCCCCAGGCCTGCTGTCTGCGGGGGATTCCCTGGGCCTGGGGTTGACCCAGTGAGCTCCTCTGGCCAGTGGGGACAACAAGGTGATTTATTCGTTGTTCAGCACAGGGAGAAACCAGAAGTCACCAACAGCACAATGGCTACGTAAGTGTCAGATGGAGTTCATATCATGGGAGACCCGACCTGTTCTGGGGCGGGCAGCTGGAAGGGCTTCCTTCGCGAAGGCCTGAGCCAGGAGGGCGCACACAGCTGGAAAGTGGGGAGGCCAGAGAGGCTGGACCTCGGGAGAGGGCGTTGGAGGAGGCCTTGATGGGGGCTGGTCTACCCTAAGCCCACCACCGGCCTGCGCCAGGCCCTGTCACCACACTCCTGCTCCCTGCAGCACAGAGGTGGGCCGCCTCCTCTCCCCTCACAGGTCCCTCCAACCAGCCTTGGAGATGGGGCTCCGTGTGCCCTCTGCCTGTGCTGCCAGCAGGGCCATGCCAAGCCTTGTTTGTTATCAGGGCAGCTGGCTTCAGGGGACACTTAATGCAGAAAGTCCTTGACGATTTGGGACCCCGCTCACCGCCCCCCCCCCCAGGCAGCCCTCCATGGTCCCACGGAGAGCCCTGTCCAGCTGCTCAGCTGCAGTTTCCCTGGCAAGCTGCAGAATCCGCTGGGCCTTAGAGAAGTTGCCACTGAATAAATGCCAGCGGAGAAAACATCTTCCAGTTCAGAGAGGACGGCTATAAATATGAGAATAAAAAGGGAGTATAAATAATTAAAGCTGCCCAGAGTGAGTGGGTCTTGAACTGTGGGCCTGATGTAAAAACGAATTACTTGGAGAGATGTCATGCCAGGGCGCGGCTCGTTACCGGCAGTGCCTTCCCCCTCCCCTCCTGTCCCTCCTCAGGTACCAGGGGCACCAGCAACAGGCTGATCAGCCAGTCCTGGCACGTGAAGAACTGCCACAGCCTCTCCATCTCCCTGATAAAGAACTTCATCAGAGCCCATCCCAGAAAGAAATATAAGTATCCTGAAGGAATGGACCATGAGGAGGGACTGCATGGGAGAGGCATGGAGGACACTGCCTGGGTGGAGGTCAGCCTGGGGCCGGGCACTCAGGACCCCAGTGCAGCCTCATGGCCAGGCCAGGGTGGGCACCACTCAGAACTGTTCTTTCCAGCCTCTGGATCCTGTCAGGGGCCCACCAGGCGGCTTAGGACGTGCCCACCAAGTGGCTTCCATCTCAGCCTCTTCCTGGCTGCCCACCTGGCTGGGTGTGTCCAGGACTTCTCACCCCACAGCAGTCAGGGGATTGGTGGGGGAGAGAAAACTCTCCTATGACAACGAGCCCTAACTTTTCTTAGGCACTTTAAGGTTTACAAAGATTCTCACCCACGTGGTCCCTCTGAAGAGGGCACAGTAGGGGCTGCAGGGTCCACCTCACAGATGGGAAAACGGAGGCTCTGGGCCATGCAGCAGAGTGGCGGAGCAGGCCTGGACTCTGGCTTCCTCCTCCAGGCTCCTCGCGCTCTGGGTGCCACTGTGGGCAGCTCTTCTGCACCACCCACCCTCTCTGGAGGAAGCCATCTCAAATGGTACCATGCTGGGCCGTGTGTGGTCTCAGAGTGGGGAGTGTGTGTGTCTGCGCAGGCATGTGAGACTCCAGTACACATGCATGCCCCCACAGCACGCAACATGGGGAATACACAGTGTCCTAACAGCCCACCGGGCTGAGGCGTGGGTTTGGGGTTTACTCCTGGATGGTGAGGGCTGGGGTCAGCTGCACTTTGGAATAGGGCAGAGGAATGCTGACATTGCAACTGTATGATGGCCAGCCCTGAGATAAGCCTTCTGTTGACATGCCAGCTGTAATTACACACCCCGTATTACAACACCCAGCATTGCAAAACCAGTAACGAAAACCAGAGGTGTCCATCGATACACATCAAAATGGTTAAAGAAAGAAGAACCCTTCACCATCTGCAAACTTCCTGCAGCTATGGACTCAGCGAGGCATGTGCTGGGAAGAGAATTTCAGCTCGAGGTTCACTGTGTTTTCTTATCTACGTTTTATTTTCCTGAAGGCTGAGTTCTTTAGGTTATGTGTACCCTCCTTTTTCCCCCTTAATTTTTTGTAGGTCCTTAGATGGTGTTCATTTGCAAAGGTCATCAAAGGGCAGTGTTCTCAGAGCTGGCTTTGAATCCTGGTTCTCCCACTTACCAGCTGGGTGACTTTGGGTTCGTGCCTCAGTTTCCTCACATGTAAAGTGATAGTAAACAGTACCTAGCTCATAGGTTGTGATAAGTGAGTTGGTTTATACGAAGCACTAATGACAGTTCCATAGATGTTAGCGTCATCACCATCATCACCATCATCACCATTGTTATGGACTTCGTGTTTGTGTCCCCACTAAAGTCATACGTTGAAGTCCTAACTTCCAATGTGATAATATTTGGAGGTGGGTTTTTTGGGGAGGAGTTAGGCTTAGATGCAATCAGGAGAATGGTGCTCTCAGGATGGGATTAGGGGCCTTAAAAAGAAGAGACGAGAGCTCTCTCCATGGGCATGCACTGAAGAAAGGCATTTGAGCGCAAAGAAGGTGGCTGTGTACGAGCTAAGAAGTGGCCTCGCACCAGGGACTGAATCTGACAACACCTTGACCAGCCTCAGAACTATAAGAAATAAATTTCTGTTGTTTAAGCCACGGCAACATAGGCTATGGTATTTTGTTATATCAGCCCAAGCAGACTAAGATAGTCCCTGTCATAATTATCATTGCTATCATCACCACCATCACTACCATCACCACCACCA